TATTTCCCTATACTATATTATAAACTAGTATTAAATAAAACAATAATATTTTATTCCTACAAGAAGAATTGTAAAATTAATGTTTATATCTTCAGTTTTATCTTGAATGCTTGAGTATCCTGAAGTTGGTGGGAATCCAGGAAAAAAATGTTTCATTTAATTAAATATAAGTCAGGTCTCCAAGCAGAAGGATGATGTAGTCACATGTTTTGTGATGAAAATACCTCTAAAAATCGAAGGAAAGAGATCTTTTATGTAATTTAGGGGAAAAAATTAATGTGAGCTTTTCCAAAGAGAATTTATATTCTCTTGTTAAAATATTATTTTTAAATTTCATTATTTTACTAGAATTCCAAATCTAGTCTTCCTTTGTAGCAAAGACATAAGACAAATGATTATTCTATCTAAAGCAACCATTGCTATATTTTTAAAAATCCACATAGTTCATACTTTTAACAACATTACAGCCAGTAAGTGAATGTATTTCATTTTGATGATTTCATATATTGCATTAATGAGAAAAATTGAGGCATATTATCTTAGGATCTAAAATATTGTGCAACTGTAAGTTTTATGCCAGCCTTCAAGTAATTCAGTTTTTCAAAGACAGTAAAGGGAAAAGAATCTGACCTAGACAGTCTCTCCCTTCACAATGAAAGTAATTCTACTTAACAATTTGTTTTTCTTCCTGAAGAGTTGCAAGATTGGTAAGAAGCACTGGATTAATTCTATATTCTCTCTGCTTAGGTATGTTTTCAACATCCTATGGAATAAATATGCTAGTGGTAAGTACACAGTACTTGGGGAAAGATGCATTTTGTAGGACACTCTAGGCCCTCTGTAGTGACTAAAAGCAAACATAATAAAACAATCTGACATGAATTCAGTGTTTCTCCATTTACCAAAACTTCTTTGAGCACTTTAATACATGCAAATGATATTCCAATGCATTTTTAATGTTTGACCCAGATTACACAAAAGAATACTAGGGTAACAAAAAACTTCGTATACTTCATCTGCAAATATTGGAAAGTAAAGATAGGTGGTAAACTGCTACATCCATTATGTCATGGATTCCTCTCCTTAATATCCTAGTTCCAATAGCTGCTAACTACTAAAGCTTCCTGTGGTGTTCAGGTCCTGTTGTAAACTGTCCTCCAAGATTGTCTGACTACATTACGACAATGGGTTTGTCTTCCTGATAATTTTGCAACAGTGGTGTGATACTCCAGGCAAAGCATTCCGTAGGGTTAGAGTGATGCTTGAGGGAGCCAGTGGAATGCAATCATCACCCACAAATGCACCATCTGCTGTGTCTTACTGCTTAATTAAACTAAAACTGGTAGGTTCTTAATTCTCACAGCTCATAAAAATAAAGGTCACAACAGAGCACTGGCATCATGCATCATCCACATAACATACAGTCACTAAAGTACATTTTGCCAACCTATCACTCAAAAGAAAAAAGAAATATACCATCTAGCTGGCGTCAAAGCATAGAAGGATTCTATCAGACCGACATCAGATCAATGACAGGACAGCTGAACTGTCAGCCTAAGTGAGCAGGAGGACAGAAGCTTCAATGCATGGCCATTGTTCTTTACCTGTCTCCTGTAGCACTTGCCAAAAAAAATTCTTCCACACACTGTAACAAGACCTCTTGTGAACTTTTTTGCTAAATCACCCATTCATTCATTCTTCAACCATTTATCAAAAGCTTACATATGCAAGGGATTGTGTTTAGTATTTTGGTTGATGCAAAAATGAATGTGAGGCAAGCTGTTAAGTCTATATAGCTGCCAAAGACTTCATTAGATATAGTCTTATGTCAAGTATATATAACACTTTTATTGAGATATAAACACACCAATTTATAGTGTATAATTCAATGGTATTTAATATATTCATAGAGATGTGCAACTATCACCATTACCTAAATTCAGAACATTGTTTTCAACCCAAAAAGAAACTTCATATCCATTGATAGTCACTTCTTGTTCGCCTCTTATCCCAACTCCTGGCAACCACTAATCTACTTTCTATTTCTATACCTTTTGACTTTTCTGAAGATTTCACAAAAGTGAAATCATACAATATGTGGCCTTTGGGCTTTTTCCACTTAGCATAATGTTTTCAAGGCTCATCCATGTCATGGAATGTATCAGTACTTCATTCTGTATAATAGTTGCATAATATTCCATTGTATGGCTATACCACACATTGTTTATCAATTAATGGATATTGGGTGTTTCCATTTTTTTTTTGTTATTATGAATCATGCTGCTTAATAATATAATATTCATGTACATGTTTTGCACAGACTCGTTTTAATTCTCCTGGGCAAATAGCTAGGAGTGTAATTGCTGTGTCATATTGGTAACTCTGTGTTTGACACTTTGAGGAACTGTCAAACTGTTTCCAAATTGGCTGCACCATTTTACATTACCACTAGCAACATATAAGAGCTCCAGTTTCTCCACATTCTTGCCAACACTTATTTTTGTCTTCTTGTTAAATTCTAGCTATCCTAATGGTTGTGAAGTGGAACCTCACTATGGTTTTGATTTTAATTTCTCTAGTGACTAATGACATTGAACATCTTGTCATTCTTATTGGTGATGTGTATATCTTCTTTGGATAAATCTACTATGTATTTTGAGCAACTTTTAATAAACTATTTGGTAGAAATACATAAAATATTATACCTGTAATCTTAAAGCAATATGTGACATTTCCCAACAAGCCACTAATGTATTTTCTTTCCCCGAAGTTCCTTTTGATATTTAAATAGAAACTCTAAGATAATATCTAAAAACAGAGAAGTCTTGAAATTCCACAGCATAAACATGGAAGTGGGGTGCAGGAAAAGGTGGATAAAATTTCACTTGATTAGATAACTCTTTCAAGCCAATAGCCCATTTCCCAAATCTATTGAAAGTCAACTAGTAAGAATTTCTGAAGATAAATGATGTGAAAGAGGTTGAGGTACAGAAAATTCAAGAAGATAAAATAATGGTAAGAACAATAGAGCACAAATTCAGTTTCCAATCAAGGAAATTCAAAAAATGTTACAAAGGTAAAGCAACTTATTTGGACTTAGTAGTAGAGAAGTAACTAAGATAACTAAGAACTGAGAGATAACTAAGAATTAGTTCCTAGGACAGTGGATGATTACAGTATCACTTGCCCAAAGGAAGAGGGTGTAGGAGAAAGAGGTGAACAAAACAAAACATAAATATTCTGAAGGAGGATTCATTATACAGCAGTGGTTTCTGCTGCTCTTTTAAGAGAAGAGATATGAAAAAGGAAAAAAAAAATAAGTGGGATCAATCTAATTTGGGCCACAATGGATTTGGTGTAGGATATGTAAGTTGCTGTTCTGGGAGAGAGAAACAGATAGCCATACAAAGAACCCAGAAAGTAGTCAGGAGAGGGTCTGGGTTAGGGATGCTGCAGGAAAAGGAAGAGCCACAGTCATTCAGATATCAAGGAGAAAAACCCTGCCTTCTTCTTAACTCCTGTCAAACCAACTCACTCTAGTTTCAAACAATGGGGAACAACTTAACTCAGTGATATGGTTATATGAGATGCTAATGAATGAAAATAATTGATCCTCATTATCTCTTCAAGATCGTTAATGCACCCGTAAAGGTAATCACGTCTTCTTTTATCATGCATCTTGAACTTTCTTTGCTATGTAGGTTTTTAACTACCTAACATTTTTCTCCAAATAATACAAAAGAAAACAACATCAACAATAAAAATGATAATTTTGGTGCCACGTTCTCTCCAACAAACAAAAGCAGCCAAAATTGTGAAGAAGTCAGCACTACTACTTTTACATGCTATATACTACCAAGCCCCAATCGATAAGTCTGTTCTCTCTTGTTGGTGTATCCGTGGAAAAGGTGCATGACAGCAGAAACAGAGACCTTAAAAAGCAATTAAAGGTGAGGAATCTCCTGCCAAACAGCTAGTACAGACGGAACCTTTTTTTCCATAGAGCTTAGCCTCATTCCACAGCCAAGAAAAAGCTTGATAAGTACTATATGATGAACAAGTGATAAAATTTATGAAAACTGAGATGAGGAATGACCAATGGGAGAAACAAGGTGCCACTCAGAGCCTGAATGGGTTATTGTGCTTCCTGTTTCCTGTAGGTGGCGCCAAACTCCTTGAAGAGGAAACAGAAAACAAAGTTAAAAGGCTGGTGTATGTCTAGATTGAAGCGCTAAAGAATTTGCTTGTGAGTTGGCAATTTCTCCTCCAAGGCAGCTCTTCATCAGTGCTATTGGCAAGCTCTAGATTTCAGAAGTGATTCACCTGCGCCGTTATTTATGAGCTGCCTTTTCTCCTTTAAGCGCCCAGCTTACATTAACAGTACCACCAGCTTCACTGCAGAGCTCAACCGTGCCTATCACGTAAATGGAAGGTTCGTTAAAGCATCTATTAAAGGGATTTTCAAAGGCAAAACAGCATTTTAAAGCCATTAGCATCCCTTAAGTTAGGTTCTATTGAAGAAATGTTACCAAACTGCTATCTAAAACCATCAACCAGAAATAGCCATAAAGTCACTAGACAATCCCTTGGATTCTCTACCCAGAGGGCTCTCACAACCCTATATGCTCCCTATCTTTCAGGCCTTGGAGTGAGAGAGCATCAACATGACTTCTAGGAGCATGTCCCAGATGTGCATCTCCTGGAGGCAGCCAGGGGTTGGACATCAGTCATCAATAAGGGTCCTTGCCAAAAAGAAGCTGTAGGGGGTCCGCAAGGAAGCAGGAGGCTTGGTCAAACTGGAATAAAAGCAGTATGAAGAGAAGGGTGTGTCTTGGAGGGCATACACAGGCAAGCAAGAATTAGATATTATGTACTAGGTTTTCACTATTATTCTCAAAATCCAATTTTTGTAACAGACATTTTCTGCCAACCTCCTAAAATTTTTAAACAACAGCAGCCAAGACTGACTTCTACTCGGCACAATTACATAAGACCAAGCAGTGTGTTGCTCTCATTTTCGAAGCTTTGTTTTAAGCTCCCTCATTAATCTTTCAGTCTTTTCCCATCTCTGCCTGACTATAACTGCCCTGAATTTATCCAAGCCTGCAGAATGCCAGGCTCACTGGAGTCTAAATCACCAAGAGCTGAATACACATTCTACTCATGGGACTCTACACTTCCATCAGAAGGAACCAATCACAGCTTAGGAGAGGTAAACCTCTTTTTAATTGTATTCTATGATACTAACAGGCATTCATTACACATGGACCTTAAAACAAGATTTGCTCTTGGCTGCTCATAATTGTATTTCTACAGCAGTTTAAACCGTTGGCACCTGCAATTGCTAGCAGGCCTAGGCTAAGAATTTCTATTATCCCAGTTTCAAGGGTTACATTTAAAATAAAACTCAGAGGGGCAAAACATTACATACACACATATTTACACAAATTAAATACTATGCACAAGTCAATACCTTCTGCACACAAAACTACATTAAACTCAATTAGCCCAAAGCAAAACTACAGGAAGCAGGTTTTCTGAGAACCAACGGAGCTGTTCTGTATAATAAAGAATGTAAAAGCAGCTAGATTATAGAGTTCTGCAGAGCTGTCAATAAATGCTTTTAAATAAATCATCAGTACTGATTTCTAAATTAATTAGCTTAAAATTAACACAAAACAATCCAATGTAAGGTATTTATATACAAATAACCTCTGATTTTTGAGTTCTAATAAAGAAGAACTTTTGAAGCACATATGTATTTGTGTGTCATTCAGGGCTTTTCCAGAAGGATATTCCTAACTATAAGCCACAAAATAGCCACCAGACTAAAGTACAATATCCTTCTTGTTATGGTTTTCTACTTGATTATGACCAAAATTAAATTATACAAATATTTCACTAAATATCTTCTCGAACCTTATAAATATTAATATAAACTCAATCTCCGATGTGCCCAGCATTTAAAAATCCATTTAAAAATCTTGGAAACTAATTTAAGATTTCCATCTAGAATACAAATTAGCAAGTCCTCTTCCTAGCTCTGTTTTGCTCAGCACCCATATCTGCACATTTAGTACTGAATGTCAGTTGGTAGCACTTAAAGATGATGAATATTAAAAGCATGCTTCTGCCTGCTAACATATTAGAGCTTGGCAACCACTGAATTTGTCATAAGCTGCATTTTCAGTGAACAAACGACTGCCTTTAACACGCCAAAGCATTCGGTAAATTCCCAAATTGTGAAAAGGGTTCACGGAGAGTGAAATTTTACTATTACATATGTTATCTGAGAGGACTGCATAAAATTAAAATCTTTTTTAAAACTTACCACCTTAGAGTACCACCAGGCTATACTTTTCTAAAGTACTTACTTGAAGATTGTATATGGATAATAAGTAATAATAATGCCAGCTACTATGAATCAAATATTCATTATGTGTTGGGCACTGAGCTAAGCATTTTACATATAAAAATATAATTTTTACATACATGCTATCTTGTCTACATGCCATCTTTACATGCATACTATCTAATTCGCATATGTACATGCTATCTTTACATATATGCTATCATATCAGATTCTCTACCCAGTAAGTGGTATTGTTATTTCCAAAGAGGTTAGGTGACTTATTTGAGGTAATAAGCAAATGAAAGGCAGATCAAGAATTTCAACCCAAGCCTCTCTCTCCAATTCCCTACACACTACCATGCAGCCAAATTTCCAGCAGATAAAACCTCTTGCAAGGCTGGCACTTGGTGGATGCTGCTCACTCTATTGGGTCCAGGAGCTTAATACCTGTTTACTTTAAATCTGCATTAAGGACGCCTTTTCATATACAAATCTTGTTTCTGCTAGGATTCATTCATCCAGAAGACTGAACAAAAAGTACATTTTTGTCTGGAATACGTAAGAGATTATTTTTTAACTTAATTAAAATGGCTTGTTAGAATCACCTATTCAGCATATGGAAAACCAGCTGGGTTATCCTGTCAAACCTCTGCACAACATACCTACTGAGACCCAACTTCACGATTAGAAAGCAAGAGAGTATAGTGATGCAAACTGAACTCCGGAACAAGAGTTCAAACTACGGCACTATCTCCTACCAGCCTCAGGTGACCAACCCTCAATGTCCTCATTTGTAAAGTGAAGACTGTGTTAGTAACTATCTCATGGATTACTGGAAGATTAAATAAAATTATGCATACAGAGTACCAGATACATTGTAAGTACTCAATAAATGTTAGCGCTTGTCTGTCTTTGGGGTGTCAGATTCTATCAAAACAACTTTACTACTTTCTTTGGAATGCTATATGGTTCTTTAATTTGTCTGTCTATTAAGAACTGTCTTACACTCAGTAAGTTTTTTTCTACTTAATTTTATGCCATCAGCTCCATAGCTCTACAAAGCATTCTAAATTATCCTTCTGTTTCTCTGGGTTTTGAGAGATTCAAATTCTTTTTCCAAATTACATACTAAGATCTTCTTTCTGAGTTGATTTTCCTAGCTGCTTAATCATTTCTGTTGACCTCTGATTTTTTTTTTTTTACCAGATTGGCCAAGTGTCTCTGATATGAAGACATCCAGAACAACAATCCAAATTAACCTTTTGAGAGCCTAAAAATTAGGACTTATTTAAGTCTCTTCTGATTTCTGCCTTCCCCAACATTTACTACCATGTTCATTACTGCATGCTAATCTCAACATTTTTTCCATAGCTTACATCATGACAGATGTTTTGTCCAGATTTCACAGTAAATTTAATGGGCAAGAAACAGTGCAATTATTTATAAAGTTATTGTTTGTAGAAGAAATTACATTTTCCAAGAATATAGCTAGTTAAGTTATATATGTCTTTATTCCTTCAATAAGTATTTCTTTAGTGCCTATTATGCACCATAACAGGTGAATCACATACTTTTGCAAAAAGACAAGGCAATACCTTATGTGCTAAATTCTCCCGTCTGCCTGCATCACACAGTTGTTTGAAAGGAATGTTACAATTTTTATGAGTCAAATTAATTATATACTATCTAAATATAAATATGTACATACACATGCACACTACATACATATTTAAAACCCAATCTCTTTTGGGAAGACAAAAGACCTTTTAGTGGGCTAAAAAAGTCCCTTTGAAAGTTGTCAGTATATCTTATGGAATGTGCTAAGGAGATGTGAGTGAGAGACAAGGAAAGAAAATAGAGCGATTCTGTTTTTCTGTAGCTGGATGAGATTATGGTGTTTTATTTGATTCTGTTTTCTGTATTAACTTTTATAGGCATCCTGTTTTTTACTTCTGTTAGTTATTTTTATAACTTTAATAAACTTTCAATAAATTTTAATGAACTATTAAATTTAAATAAATAAATTTTAATAAACTTTCAACCGCTATTTAACTACTCTCAACATATTCCCAAAAGATCACTTTAGTCTCTTTTAAATGAAGGACAAATAATTTAGCACTTTTATACTTCCTTACTCTACCTTCAAGTTTTCCAATTAAAAAAATATCAGAATATTTTTCAGTTTTGATTTATAATTAGAAAGCTTGCCTGGAATGTGGTAATGGTAAATCAGTACCCAAGATCAGGTCTCTTTTAGAACTGAAAAATATCCCTCCAATAGTTATCACAGTGGACTCATTTGTTTTGCTGTGTCTTCCACTATAATCCCCATCAGTTCTGGGTTGGATCTGTGTCTTTCGAGGCTTCTTTGTTGCAGTTTGGACATTTTTTTGAAGTCTATCCTCTATCACCCTGAAATAGGAGAGTTCCCTGACCCTCCTCCCAGGACATGCAACAGGGGTGTGGCTCCTCTGTTGCGCTGTTGCATCCTCAAACACCTTACAGGAGTGGGGGCACACAGACAAGCAGGTGCAGGAGCCAGGGAGAGTGATTTGGGGAACTGGTCCCACAGTAGTGGTAGCCTCTAGGGCTGAGTGCCTGTGACTCCCAAAGCCCCAGTGGGTGTGCTACAATGCTCTTTTAGCTCTGCTGTCCACAGACTGCTTAAGTGTTACCCAGCTCAGTGCCCTCTTGGTACCTGGGTTTTTGTCCAGCATCCAGGAAGAATCAGGTCACACGAATTGAAGGATGGTAAATGTGGGGGATTTTATTGCTGGATGGAGATGGCTCTCAGCAGGATGGATGGCGAGCTGGAAAGGGGATGGAGTGGAAAGATGACCTTCCTCTGGAGTTCAATTGTCCCATGGCCCATCTCCTCTCCCACCGTCCTCAGCTTAACTCCTCAGTGTTCAGATGCTCCTTCTCTTCTCTCCTCTGCCACGGCATTCTGCTGCTCTTCTGCTCCTCTGCTCTTCTGCTTGTGGAGCCTAGGATTTGGAGTTTACATGGGTACAGAATAGCGGGGTGCAGCAGGCCAAAAGACAACACTTGGGTGTCAAACAGGAATGCCTGTTCCCATTTAGGACCATGGGTTTCTGGGCTTGAGGGTGGAGACTTTGCCAGGGAACTACCCTCTTTAAGCCAGTATTTCCCTGCTATCTGTCCAAATCAACTGGATGAATTTTCTAAGTCAGCTTTTTATTTACAGTGAAGATTTATTGTATCTAGTTTAATCTTCATTTCATTTTACTCTTTTTAAAATTCTCATTTACTAGATGTAAACTCTTTAGGTGTCTTACTGAGTTTACAAAACAGAGCTTTTCTAACTGTTTCATAAAGCAAAATTGTTTCAGAAACACATGCTACAGATCTCTACAATGTCTTTGCTTTGGAGCTATAGAATTTTGTTTTAATTATTCATCTATAATACATGATTTCTTTTTACATCTTTGGGCTTGGTTTGACATTGGCCTTTAGTGCTTACCATGCTTGAAGACTGCTTTTAAGTCCTTCCTAGCAATTGAGTTACATTAATAAGTTAGATGCGTGTCTTCGGTGCCCTACATGTGCTAAGTACTATCCTGGGTGTTGAGGATTCAATAAGAAGGAATCTACTCCCATCCCCATCTCTTCCTTCCCCACCCTCATGAAGCTCAGTCTTCTGGAGGATACAACAAAATCCCACACTAGCAACTGAATATAGAGGTCTTTGCAGGTGCCCTTGTGTTCAAAGTGGAGCCAAAGGATGACTGGAAGCAGGTGCCGATCCTGGTTCTTGACTTTCAAGCATCTAAAGTCACAGACCAGCCCAGAACCTGGGTGAGAGTCAGGAGCCAGTTCAATGAGAACCACTTCCACCCCATCCAGAAGCTGAGTAAGTCAAAGAAGGAGCAGGTTAGCAGCTGTTACCAAATCCACTAACACTCAGCAGCACTGAAAATGAGCAAAAGGGAAACTGGCCAGTACATGTTGAACAGGATTCCATGACTAGCAGCTGAAACAGGGAAGAGAGGAAGAGGAATCAGGTTGCAGGTTGGGGGCCTGGTTAAGAAGGAGCAACTCCATCTGATTTCAACTACAGCAAAGAATGTAAAATTCCTTCCAGAAACTAGAATGGGCTCAATGCCTGACACTCATTATGGTTACTTCCGGGGATTTGTTTTTTTTTTTTAGACAATTTCATGGATATTTTAAAGGAAATAAGGAAGACATTGTTCATAGCACTTCCACACACTCTAGTATATTCTTGGAAGTCAGTGGTTCAATCTCAAATGAAACTTCTCACTAACATTATGTTCAGTTATTTATGCTCCCTAAACAATGAATGTTTTTAGGCAAAGATTTCCTAGCCTTTCCAACTGAACAAAAGAGCCTCCCACACACAGAGACACACATTTCCATTCTGAAAGCCCTGCAGGCAGATCTGTGAAGCTTGCCATCATGAGACTCATTTAATTTTAAATTAAATTAAGGGCCCAAAAGGTAAGCACATTGTTCAGGTTATTCCAACTAATGTCCTAAACTTACAATTTCAATGATTCTCCATCCAATTGATGACTCCTGCTATAATAAAGAATTCATGAACCATGGAAACAACTGACAAAAATAAAATAAATAAATATCACTCATGGCTTAGAAGAAAAAGCATTCACACAGTCCAGTTCCTAACTCAAGGAGAGTAAATATGTGCAGGAAATTTTTATCAAGATTTTACCAAGTCTATACCTGTAAGGAAAAAAAAAGGGGGTACAAAGGCTGCTTTTCTAATAAAAATAAAAGTATGAAGGACCCAAATTTCTGACCACTATCACGTGACAGATATATAAATATTCACATAAGCAGAACTAGTTGAGATGGTAAAATGTAACTAAAATGAAATAGTCTTTTTTTTTTTTTTTTTTTTTTTTTTGGTTTAAAACAGCCCTAAGGTTTCCCCCTCCCTGGGTGGGGAAGATTCTGATGGATTTCTTTATTATACATACATTTATTGATCCAATTGTCCCAGTTTTTATGAAGTTTACTAACAATACTGAGGTGCCTGAATATAAGAAGGGGTAAAAAAAGAAAGAGAAAAGAACCTGAGTTGGAAATTCTCAAAGAATACTGTATGAGGAAGTCTACAGGGTAAGCACAATCATTACTGAACCATCTGATTAGCTGTAGGCTAAGTATGGAAACAGGAATTCAAAGAGAGTTGCTAGTCTCTTCCCTCCCCAGTCTTCCCACACTGGAAAACAAGGACAGAATAAGGAATGGAGCGGAAGAAGAGAAGACAGGTTCAGGAGAATCATAGATGGGGCAGGTAGAAGTTAGAAGGCCATTTCAAAGAGGACACTAATAGAGTTTGAAATATTGAAAGTGGAGCAGATCTATTAGGTGTGGCATGTGTGTGCACAGACAAAGTGAAATGAAGATGAAGGTCGTTTTAGCTGAGGGATTTAAAGAACTATGAGATCTGGGTATTAGTAAAGCCATCAAAAGGAATCTGCTATTCACTAAGGATTCTGCATTGAATCACTGAGGAAAAGGTAAGCTGATCTTGAAGCAACCATGGTCCCAGAAGTGTTATTAGGGAAGTGCGGTGGGGCAGGGGTGGTGAGAGGTATGTAAAGTTGGAATGGTATGGCACTTACATATGCTTGATAACGTGTCAATTTCCACATCTAAGAATGGAGAAGATCACATTGATTACAGGGGAGTACCCTTAACCCATCTTTTGCTTGATGCCTCCACTGAGTAGAAGGTGGATTCGAGTGGTACAACTACTTTATGTAAATTTAATGAATTTAAAGTCCTTGAGAAATAAGAATGGGAATAACCTGATAGTAAAAAAATATATATTTAATCCCTACTTGTCAACTCAGGAATAAAGAGAATGGGAAGGAAAAGTGATGTTCCTTGGCCACTCCTGGATCTCCCTGCGTTTCCCCAAGAGCATCACTCCAGCCAAAGACCAGCTGACATTTTCTCCCCAGGCACGCTTCACTTCTCACTCTACACACCCTGTGTGAGGTCCTCCTTACCTCACCAGTCCCAGACCAGATCTTCCAATTGCTTACTGGTCTTTTCTTCCTCATGTCCTATCGTTTCTTCAAAACCAAAGCTTTTTACCAAATTCATCCCCTCTTTTCCAATCTGACTGCAACAAACTTAGGACCAACCATCTTTTCTCACCTGATTTTCCAAATGGTGTCCTAACTAGCCTCCTACTCCCCTAGAACAGCCTCTATACTATCACCAGGGCAATCTCTCTAAAGGACAATCTGATCAGATCACTTAAAACCCTCAATGGCTCCTAGTGCCTACGGGATGAAGCACAAAACCACTTAAGCTCTGAGTCATGCTCTTCTGTTCAAAGAGAGAGAGACAGAGAGAGAAAGAATGTCCGACATGCCTCCGTCAAAATCATTGGGAGGATCAAATAAAAATGTATGGAGAAGCACTTTCAAAACTATAAAGCTTATCTAGTGGTTCTTAGTCTTTATGAGGTCACAGTCCCTTTGGAGAGTCTGATAAAAGCTCTGGAGTTTTCTCAAAACCACAAACACATACATCCACCTACACATAAAATTTGGCATCCAATTTCAGAGCATCCATGGTTCCTCAAAGACAATCTTGATCAAGAACCCTTACTTAGGTATTTTATTATTTTCATATTGGTACGTAGAATTGGAGTCAGTATCATCTTGATAGCATTTCCAGCCTTACAAACAAGCAAGCAGTTCTCCTGTGGGCAGTCAGATTATTCATGAAGATGTCTAAAATATTCATCAGCAGGGTCATTGGGCACATAGTGAATATAGGCAGAAAATTAGTACAGTAGTTAGCTCACAGTCATTTCATCAGAGTGCAGCTGTCCCTACACACAACTGCTCGAAAAGAACAGGTTATTTTGAAAACAATCAGCTGAATTGAGTCAAAAAAAAAAAAAAAAAAAAAAACTGGCCAGTGGGCCTTCATTCTAACTGAATGAAAATGAAGTGAAGTTCCTTC